CTTTCCGAAGATCCCGTCGGCGACGTCCTCCCTCGACAGAACTCTTCGACTGGCGCACCGCATTTCAGAAGCCATGAATTCCTTCACATGGGCCCAGAAGGTCTCGATTGCGTCGTCCGTCGTGCAGATTTTTACGCCGAGGTCCTCCCCCCACCGAACGTCCCCCCCTGAGCCTATCCGCCCAGACGTCACCCCTGAAACCTCCCTGCCCCGCCCCTCCTATAGGGCCCTTGCAGGGCGGCTAGGATCTCTCCACGCCGAAGGGGTGACACCCCTGGGGCGTGGAATTACTGGGGCGCGATAGTTGGTGGAGGGAAATAAAAGTTACCCTTTTGCCATTTGGGGCCCTCGAGGCCTCTTTGGGGGCCCGAGAGGGCCCCTTCAGGGGCCCTGAAGGGCTCCTTTTGTGCAGCCCTCGCTGCCCTTCCATTTCCAGACATCTGGCCGCTCCAACTTGTTCGATCCGCGGGCCCCAGAAGCCTGAACCACTTCCCTGATGCTCGTTTTTCGTCCCGAAGCGTTTTCTCACGCTCCCGAAGCCCAGCGAGGGCCCTGGAGGTTCAAAACTGCCCAAGCCCCGCCGCTCCAATCTTTTTGGGACGTCGGATATCTGGGTTCATCGCCCCCGCTGACGCGCCCCCCAAACCCCTCCAGGTTGGAAACTTGGAAGAGGGCACCAACACCAACACCAGGGGTTGCCTCCACGGGACCAGGATGATCCCGGATTGTTGTGTTGGTGTTCATCTTTCGGCCGCCTAGGAAGCCCGAGTATTCCCACCATGGATCATCTTCCCTCGGTGACAGCACACCGCCGATATTGGTGTTGGTGTCAACGTCTAGGCCTCCGACCAAGATGCGGGCGGGCGTGTCCCCCGACAGGCGGATTTTGGACAACAAATAAGATAGTCCAAGTGCTTAAATCTACCCAGCAATAAATGTTTAAATAATTAAAAACTTGGAAAACACATGCTGAACTATACTCAAAAAATCGTCCCCAGAGTATTTTTGACTATATTTGAATGCTCTTCCTGTAGAGGGACAGGCCCGACTAAACACCAGGACCCGCCCTCGCCCGCCCCCGCCCGACGGGCGAGGGCGCCCGCGCGGCGGCCGCAGCAGGCCCCCTGCGCGCAGAGGCGCGCGCGCGCTGCGCTAGAGAGCTGAACGCCACGCGCGCGCGTGCCCTGCCGGCGCCTCAGGCGCTGGGCGCTGCCAGGGGGCGCCCCTGGCCCAAGCTCGAGGGGGGAAGGGGTGCCCGGCTTCCCCCGGGGCCGTAGGCGACCCGAGGAGGAGGAGGAGGAGGAGGAGGAGGAGGAGGAGGAGGAGGAGGAGGAGGAGGATGAGGAGTAGGAGGAGGAGTAGGAGTAGGAGTAGGAGTAGGAGTAGGAGTAGGAGGAGGAGGAGGAGGAGGAGGAGGAGGAGGAGGAGGAGGAGGAGGAGGAGGACGGGTCGCCTAATCTCTTCGGAGAAACCCTCCAGGGGGGGGTCTGATACCCGTCAAACGTCGACGAGTACTCGCACAGTCACTACCCGCAGATGGCCTGGAGCCGCCGCGAGGGATCTGCGATGATCCAGCGCGGAGGGGCAGCCTTAGGGTTAGGTCGGGCATGTCCCCCCACAGGCAGATTTTGAAGGAGAAAATTAAGTACCCCCAAATACGGATACAGGTTTTTCTATATATATATATATATACATGTGAGTATACACATTATATATATGCATATATATATAGAAACGAAGAAAATCGTCCCCAGACTATTTTTGAATATGTTTGAAGATTCCCCCTGTGTAAGGACACGCCGGACTTAACGTAAGGGGGGGCACTCCAGGGAGGGAGCATCGGCCTGGAATCGGCGGCGCATCGCCGAGAGATCGGCGAGGGGCCCCAGATAGTCACTCCGCACGCTCCTGGGCAGGTTGGGGCTACAGTGGAGGCCCGTACACAAGAAACCTTCCAAACGAAACCCAAACCTGAGGACCAACAACATCGGGGATACGGAGCCCTTTTTTATGCATATATGTTATAATCAACCACCCATGTGCACCCATGTGTTCAGCGATCTCCCAAACAACTGGGGCCCTAAGTTAGGTCACGAATCAATTGTGCTGCTAGGGACAGGGGTCGTACAGTAGGGGCCCTTCCACAAGAAACCTTCCAAAAGAAACCCAACCCTGAGACCCCAGGACGTCCAGTAATTTTTGGTGGGAGCGCCACGCTTTCCATCGCAAAGCCATCGAACCCCAAGAAACCCAGGGCACCCTGGGCTCAAGCAGGATGTTTCTTGGCATGGGCCCCCACCGCATCGGACTCCTGTCGGCGATCAATGGGCGATTGGGCTCGATGTGGCCCCCCCTAAGCCTATGCCCCCTCGCATCGCCCCCGAAGAACGTCGCTCGCGAAACCCAGAGGGCCCCAAAAGGGGCTCCACAGTGGAGCGACAGGGCTGGGGACACCCATTTCGGACGCCCGAGATGGGCACGTGCAATTACTACCCTTGCGAAGGATCCAACCATATGCAGTTGTGAATGCCGAAATGATGCGTATCTTCTTCGGTGGAACTCCCCATGGGGCCACGGGCCGTGTGAGGAGTGTGCCGACATGGGTGGCGGGGACGCATGCGAACTCCGCCACTGGGGTCCTCGGTGGACCTCCCTATGTGGCAGCGAAGCATGTGAGGGTGTGCCGAAATGGGCGGCGGGGGCACACATGTGGTCACAGCCAGTGGGCTTTCGGTGGCGCCATTTTGGGGCTACCAAGCGCGTGAGGGGTGTGCCGAAATGGGTGGCGGGGACGCATGCGAACACCGCCACTGTAGCCTTCCACATGGGGCGACAAAACGTGTGAAGGGGTGCCGAAATTGGTGGCGGGGCCGCATGTGGTCACAACCGATGGGGCATTCCGTGGAGCTCTATATATGGGGCCGCGAACCGTGTGAGGGGTGTGCCGAAATAGGTAGCGGGGACGCAGGTGGACGCAACAACTGGGGCCATTGGTGGAGCTCCCTATGGGGCCACGAGCCGCGTGGGGGGTGCGTCGTCATGGGCGCGGGACGCATGTGGACGCAGCCAATGGGCCATTCGTGGAGCTCTCTATGGGGCTACGAAACGTGTGAGGGGTGCGCCGAAATGGGCGCGGAACACATGTGGGCGCAATCACTGGGGCCATCGGCGGAGCTTCCTATGGGGCCACAAAACGTGTAAGTGGTGCGTCGAACTGAGCGCGGGACGCATGAGGACGCAACCCCTGGGGCCTTTGGTGGAGCTCCCTATGAGGCCACGAACTGTGTGCGGTGTCCTATGGGGTCACCAAACGTGTGAAGGGTGTGCCGAAATGGACGCGGGACGCATGTGGGCGCAACAACTGGGGCCTTCGACGGAACTCCCTATGGCTCCACGAAGCGTGTGAAGAGATTACTGACATGGGCGCGGGACGCATGTGGACGCAACCGCGGGGGCCTTCGGCGGGGCTCCCGATGGGGCCACGAACCGTGTGAGCGATATGCCGAAATGGGCGCGGGACGCATGTGGACACAACCACTGGGGCCTTCGGAGGAGTTCCCCATGGGGTCACGAACCGCGTGAGGGGTGCCTCGTTTTGGGCGCGGGGCGCATGTGAGCGCAATTACTTGGACCTGCCTTCGGAAAAGCTCCCTATGGGGCCACGGAGCGTGTGAGGGGTGTGCCGAAATGGGCGCGGGGCGTATGTGGACGCAACCACTGGGGCCTTCGGTGGCCACGAAACGTGTGAGGGGTGTGCCAGGATTGGTGGCGATGATGACGATGACGATGATTATGCTTATGGTGACGATGCTGCTGCTGATGCTGATGATGATGCCGATGATGATGCTGCTGATGATGATGCTGATGTTGTTGTTGATGATAATGGTGATGGTGATGATGATGCTGATAGTGATGATGGATAGTGATAGTGATAGTGATGATGATGAGTCTGATTAATATGATGACGATACTGATACTGATGATGATAAGAGTGATGCTGATGATGATGATGATGATGATGATGATGATGATGATGATGATGATGATGGCGATGATGATGCTGTAGATGTCGACGACACTGACGACAATGACGGCGATGACGATGACGATTATGATGATGAGGATGGTGATGCCGCTGATGACGACGACGACGACGGCTACGATGGTGATGACGATGACGATGCCGATGACTATGATGATGATGCTGGTGATGATGATGATGATGATGATGATGATGATGATGATGATGATGATGATGATGATGATGACGCCGACGACGACGATGGGAGGAGGGAGGAGGGGGAGGAGTGAGGAGGAACGCGGGGCGCTCTCTCCAAAACGAGGACCCAACATCACAGGATGGTTGGGACACATGGGAACGATGCCCAACAGCACATGTTGTCCAAAACCAACACTGGCCGCTGCTGGGCAGGCGGCCTTCTGTCTTAAATGGGCAGCGCCCGCGGCGACACCGACAGCGGAGTCCTGTTCAAAGGAACAGGAGCTGCTCTCGGTCTTCATACCAAATGTTTGCAGACCCGACGTTACAAACAATAATGCAACATCGCGGAAAGTCATGACCAGAGCCCTAAACCCAATCTTTCTGCAGCATTTCTCGAGCCAGAGAAGGCCACGGGGCCCGAAGCTGGCCGAAAACGCCGGCTTGAAAAAACTGCGAAACCAGGATCTCAGGGTCTCTCGTTCGCGCCGACGCCCTGGGGCCACAACGACACCTCGCAGCAGCCCCCGGCCGCGCGGCAGGGAGGAGAAGGAGGAGGAGGAGGAGGAGGTGGAGGAGGACGAGGAGGAGGCGGAGGAGGAGGTGGAGGAGGAGAAGAAGACAGAGAAACATTGAGCTTCGGCCAAGAGGACGCCTCGCAGCAGCCCCGCTGCGAGCGTCGGGCTGGGCGCTGCCGCCGCGCCCAGCCGCGGCCCGGCCCCTGCAGCTCGGGGGCGGCGCGGGGCGGCGCGCCGCCGCGGCCCCGAGTGTTCCCCGGCCGCTATCTCTGCTGCCTCGGGAGGGCGGGGGAATGGGCGCGGAGGGGGGGGGGGGAAAGGCGGAGTTCGGCGGCGAACTTGGGGCCGGGCAGGGCTCGGGCCACACCGTGCTTTTGTCGTCTGCCTCGTGTCTCCGTTTGCCTTCGTGCCGTCCTCGCTGTGCCTCCGCTGCGGGACGTGATCAAAACGCTGACAGTCCACGAAATCGTCCAAACACCGTTTAGCTCGAGCCCTGGGGTCTGGGCGTTGCGTCATGGGGGCGTGATGAACAGGAGGGCGAAAAACGTATAACGTTCGTGCCCCTTCTGGTCCCCAGGGGGCCCCCTGTAGGGGACCTGAGGTGCACGAGCGGTGCACGTTGCTTCGCCACCCCATGTATCGCCCCCCCATGACGCAACGCTCGAGGGGTGGGGGCAGAAGCTTACCCCAGGATGCTGACAAAGCCGATTCTCCTCTGGACGTATGTTGTGCCACGTGTGTGTGTGTGTGTGTGCGTGTGTGTGTGTGTGTGTGTGTGTGTGTGTGTGTGTGCGTGTGCGTGCGTGCGTGCGTGCGTGCGTGTGTGTGTGTGTGTGTGTGTGTGTGTTTAGAGGCCTCCTACATGGGGTCCGAGTGGATGGGGTCGATAGATCGCGCCGCATCGCAGATGCATCACCGACGTCGGCGATGCATCGGCGACGTTTGCGTGCAGAAAATCGGGCTCTGCATCGAGCCACATCGCCAATGCATCGGCGATGCGGCGCGATCCTCCGACCCCACCTACTCCAACCCCATCTGGGAAGCCTAGAAATCTGCCCAGGGAGGCTGAGGCTGCCGATGATCCTGTGTGTTGAGCCCTGTGTGTGTTGACCCCGTTCGCAGCCCATGTCGGCCCTCATTACATTGCCTGCGTCGTATTGAAGGGCTCTGGTGGACAAGCACCCGTTGGTGCTAGCACACGTTCTGAAGATCACCAGAACCGTCGGTGGCGCGCCCAGGGGAGAAAGCGGAGGGGGTGGGGCTTCTCACAAAGCTCCGAAGGCCCTCAGCCTTCCGAGAATGTCGGCGGTGGACAAACCTCCCTTTAGTACACCTCCCCTTGGTGAAAACGGCCTGGGACCGAAACCGACGGGATTGGATCCGCAAAAAGAACGGCCGCGACGCCCTCTCGCGAACCGAAAACGGCCAATTCGCTAATCGACGTGTCAGGGTAGGAGGTCTATCCACCCCCGACCTTGGCCTGCCGCCTTCTGAAGAGGCCTGCCCCGTCCACTTCCCCCCTCGGAGGAACAGGCAGGCGCGCAGGCAAGCCTGAGCCCGATCGAGCCTCGAGGTAGGATCGGATCGGACAGGGCTCGCGCCGCGCCCGGATTGTCGCGGGATTGGATCTGGGTCGGATCAGTTGGGATCGCAGATCGGGCGCGATCCCCGCAGATCCGAGGAGGCAACCATTTCTGGCTCGAACCTTGCAACCTTGATCGATCGCGCCTTTCAGACAGCGCAGACTTCTCGATATCGGCAGATTCTGGGCCCATGGCCGCATTCGACCTTGAACGCCCGCGCTGGTGTCGCCGCCGCGTCGGCGCGACGAAAACCTATTGCAAGTAGGTAGGATGGGTAGGTAGGCGTGTAGGTAGGATGGGTAGGTAGGCGTGTGACGGTGACAGTGTCCGCATGGGTGTCCACCCGAGAGGACTAAGCGTGGCGGGTTGCTCCACTGCAAGGACCTGCTAACAGGAACGTGGTTTGCCAATTACGCTCAGGATGCAGAAACTAGGCTCGAGCAGGGAGGTTGCAGTAGGCACTTTGGTAGGCGCGTGTGTGGGCAGCTCGGGGTAGGAAGGACGATCAGTGGGTTGGGGTCGGGATAGGGATAAGTGGGCATGTCAGCAGGTAGCGGGGTAGGGGACGCACAAGGGAAGAAGGAGGGACGGACGCAGGAAGGGGGATACCTATTGTTCGCCGCAGGGCTTGCGCATGATGCGTGCTCCGGCGAATGAGTTGCCCCTCCTACAGAGGTTGGCACAGTGCTGAAAAAGGGAGACACGACGCAATTAACAATACAGACGGCTAGCATTATGTTGCTCCCATCGTGCTTGAGGACCACATCCCAGAAATGATTTCGAACGCCCAATCAGTATCGAACAAGTGCCGAACGAGTATCGCCCCCCAGGGTCCCAGGGCCCGACATGTGAAAACCCTCCAGTTTCTGTACTTTCCTGGTGCCCGAAATTCTTTCTGGTGGTCAAGGCTAAAAAGCACTCGGAAAATTATGAACCTAACTACCACCGTGTCTCCTGGAACGCTGAACCGTGGCTGCAGCGGAATCGCTGTTTGAAGTCGCATCGTGGGTATTTTCAGCTTGTTCTAGCTCAAGTTTGATATTGTAACAGAAGCCTGAACAGAAAAGGGTCGCTTGCATCAAAACCGCTCGTACTCAATAGCTACTACAACACGAACTGACCTGCCATGCTAAGTTGCTTTCAGTACTAGGGCCGTCTGGTAGGTCGTTTCACGCCCCGCCTCTCTCCTCACGCGCTGCTGCGTGCACCGCCCCTCCCTCCCCGGGGCTCCCCAGGCGGCCTGGTGCCTCCCTGAGGTAGATACACGCATGAAGCAGAAGGCGGATCACGTAGATTGGGTTCAGGCTCTCCCACAGAATAGCACAACACCTCAAGACCATGCCGATTATTGAAGTAGGAAGGCGCCAGAAACACATTGGGATCTGGGAATCCAAACATACGTACTTTTAACGACTGGCGTTTGGAGCTCGAAATCTTTTAAGATGGCTGAGGAGGGCCGCCAAGACTACCACTATGGCCCAACATTGCCACGGGAGGCACCCATCAGTCTCAAGACCGACCCCCAGAGGTGCCAAAGACCCTCTCAGCTCCTCATCCTTTCTTCGGGAACCCACCGTTGGCCCCGATCATCAGGAACGGCGAGCTGAGCTAACAGTTGGATTACAAACCGCAATCAACGAGCCCACAGGCGTTGCACACTCCCCTGCTCTTCTGTCGGGGGGGCGCGCAAACATGGATTAGCGATCAATGGACTTGGCGCGCGGTCGCCAAATCCATGGATAACATCCTCCCCCTCCCCCTCCCCCTCCCCTGAGGGGCAACGATAGGGGGGGGTAGTGATAGGGGGGATGCATCGACCTGGAATCCGCGATACATCGCCGATAGATCGGCCATGGGCCTCCGATAATGAATCCGCACCTTCCTGGGCAGGTTGGGGCCATCGGGCCCCTATCGGCGATCAATGGGCGATTGGGGGTCGATGCATCCCCCCCTATGCCTATCCCCCCCCTGTCGTTGCCCCCGATTCTGCTTACTCGCAGCCCCCGTGGCTGGGGGACGGAGTCCGGAAGGAACTACTGCGCGCGAACCGGATCCAGCAAAACGCACGAGGAAACGAACGAGGAAGACGAACCAAGACCCGCGACCCCACAGAAGCCCCCTTTCCCCGAGTGCACAGCCCCCTGAGAAAGGACGCCTCCCCCTCTTTAAGAGAACAAGAAGTGGCATAAACATAAAAACTCGGAGGTCCACGCGGATTTCTCGGAACGGCGCTCGACCCCCCTCCCTGGCGCGCGGAGCGCGCCAGGGGCGGCACCGGAGGCGCCGCCAGGGGGCCCGAGCGCCGATCCGAGAAATTCCGCGCGGACCTCCGAGTTTTTATGTCTATGTCATTCTTCGTTTCCCAGGGATGCCGACCTTCACCTTCTCCTTCGCCTATCCCCCCCCTACCGTGGCCCCCATCCCCCTCTTCCTCCCCGGGGCCCCGCGCATCGCCGGCCCCGCCGCCGAGGCCCGGGCATAATCTTGACCTTGTCCAGGATGGACTTCACCTCCTCCTACCCCCCCTATGCCTACCCCCCCCCCCTACTGTTGCCCCCGATCCCCCTCCTCCGCCCCGGGACCCCGCGCACCGCCGGCCCCGCCGCCGAGGCCCTGGCATGGTCTTGACCTTGTCCAGGATGGACTTCACCTTCTCCTCGTCCGACGGGGCCTCGGTCGCGCCCCAGGCCACCCCTCCCGGGGGCAGGCCCCCCGGTTCGATGCTCGATCCTCGAGGATGCTTCGTGATCCTCGAGCCTCCTCCTCCTCCTCCTCCTTCTCGATTCATCCTCCTCCTCGATCCTTGAGCATCCTTCTTGATCGTCCTCCTCCTCCTCTTCCTCCTCGTCCTCGATTCCCACTGAAAAAGAACACGGTCGCCAGATGTCCCTTCATGTGCCGCCCACAGGAGAACGATAGCTACGCTGGCGTAGCGATCATACCAATCCCCATCGCTCATTGCTGAATATTACAACGGCTCTCTGGGAATTACAGTCCATACTAAATTCGGAATGGGGTGTTCTCGGGTGATTGATACCTCTATGGGCATTGCTGAACCAATACAACTCTCTTGTATATCACCCTATCGATCCTGACGGTTACCAAGCCTGTTCCTGCTGGGAAGCCTCGATGGCTATAAACCATTGTGATATCCTACCGGATGCTTCTGTTGCGCGCCCAACTCATATATTTCTCGAGCGCGAAAGATACCCGTGCCCTTAGGGTGGAAAAGGGCCCGGGGGGGCGTTTCGTCTCTGCTGACGGCGGCTGCACAAGTGTAGAAGCGACGGCCGATCGAGCATTGTAGACCGCTGTTTTCTCGAGGCGCACGTTAGCACCGATCGCGCGTGCGCTCGAATCGGCGGAGTGGCCGACCCCGCGTTGGTTGCTGTAGATGTAGACCAGCTGCATAGGACGCGCCCCCAGAGACACATATCCCGGCGTTGAGGAATCAACGCGCACTCGGGGGTGCACGCGAACAAATCTGGCGCGAACGTCGCAGCGCGACAACCGCCCAATCGCGAATTGATCGATGCAGAGACATCGCGGCTCTGAGCGCTGGGCGAGGTCGCCAGAGGCCGCCCCCCTTGGACGGCCGTCCGCGGATAACCCCAGCTAGGTACGGTTGCCCCCAGAAAACCCAAAAACATACCCGTACCTAGCCGGGGTGTCGCAGCTCCACCCCAACCAGGTCCGGGTCTGTTTCGGTGGTTTCAGGCAGGTCCCCGTACCTAGCCGAGGTGGCGGCAGGCCCAAAACGCTCACGAGCACATCACATGCCCTCCAGAACCGTCCCCAACGTGGCCGCTGCGGCCCCCTGGGGGCGCGACATTGCAACGTCGTTCCTCAGGGCATGCCCAGACGCATCGGTTGCCAGGATGATGGCGAGGAAACGCATCTTGTTATCAATTGGGACAGGCGCCACCACATATAGGCGGCTGGGCCGCGCACGCACCACGATGCCCCGAGACGTCCCTAACAAAAACCAGCGCTTGTCGCTGCAATCAGACACCCAACCATCGAGCGCGCCGTTGCGTCTTGACACGCGGATGCTGCACTGGCGCGCGCGGGGCAAGCTGACCGGGCACAATAGCAAACGCCCAGTCCCCCGGACGGCCCATCTCACCTTGACTGGCCCCGGGTACGGGTATCATTCGGACCAATGAATATTGGAACCAAAATCTTGACCCTCGAACCTTCCCTCAAACGTTTTCCCTCGGGGCCGTCCAAGAGCTGCTCCGAATCGGCGCTCCCCCCCCTTCCCAGGGTCAGTCCTGGCGAGCTCTCCAGGCTACCTCTGGGCCGTGGCGACCAACACCTCCAGGAACGTCCGGGGCCTCCGAGACGACGACGCCGTCGGGAGACATCCGACGGTGTGGTCTCCCGACGGAGCATCGTCGAAGCAAGGCCCAGACACCGCTTCCGGGAGCGTGCGGGGCCCTCAGTGGATCCCGACTCGGTGGCCCGTGGCTTCCCGTCTGATCTCCCGCGCGTGTCTCCCGTATACGGGGCCCCCGCATGGCCTCCCGCGCGGCCTCCCCCGCGTGGGTCTCCGGTGTGGCCTCTGGTATGGGCTCCCGTGTGATCGGTCTCCCGTATGGTCTCCCGCGTGGTCTCCCGCGCGTGTCTCCCGCGCGGTCCCCCGTAGGGGTCTCCCGCAGGGGCTCTCCCGCGCGTGTCTCCCGTGTGCTCTCCCCCGTGTGCTCTCTCTCGCGAGGGCTTGCGCGTTGTCTCTCCCGGGTGTGTGGCCCCCCGCATGTGCACCGCAGCGTCATGCCGTCTGTGCTCTCCAACGATGCTGTTCAGGGCCTTCTGTCGCCAGGGTGAGTAGAGCAAAACGCGGCCCCAAGGAGGCCATACGCATGGTCTCCCGGATGTATGGCCCCCAGCATGTGCATTAAGATGTAATGCGTCTGTACAGTGGAGGCCAATCCACAAGAACCCCCCCACAAAAAACCCAACCCTGAGACCCCACTCCTCCTCCTCCTCCTCCTCCTCCTCCTCCTCCTCCTCCTCCTCCCCTCCTCCTCCTCCTCCTCCTCCTCCTCCTCCTCCTCCTCCTCCTCCTCCTCCTCCTACGTCCATTGGCTTCGTGGTTTGGGCACTTCACGCTTCCCATGGCAGAACCGACGAAGCCCAAGAAACCCGGCACCCTGGGGGCAAGCAGGGGGCTTCTTGGCATGGGTCTCCACTGTAGTGATGCTGTTCAGAGCCTTCTGCCGCCAGGGTGAATAAAAAAACGCGGCCCAGGGAGGCCTCGACCCCTTTCCCAGGAGGCAGTCTTCTGGAAAGGGCCCGTTTCTGCTATCCCTGGGGCCCGAAAGCGGCCGCCAGGGGCCGAGATGAAGGAACGCGCAGCGATTGATACAGAACACATCGTCGGGGATTAGTGCCTGCTGGCCATGGGACACGACAGCGGCCCCCGGGCGGCAGAAATTAAGGAAAACGACGCGACTGAACACATCACATCTGCAGGCCGCCTCAATGGGGTCGGAGCAGCTGGAGTTGAAAGGTCGCGCCGCATCGCCAACGGCCAGCGATGCATTGGCGACGCTGGGATGAGGAAAGTCGTTCCCCAGGTCGCGCCGCATGGTCGATGCATCGGCGATGCGGCGCGACCCTCCGACCCCATCCTTCTCGGAACCCATCTGGGCGGCCTGGGACATCGTCGGATATCGGGGAACGTCGTCGACGCCTCCCGTTCCTCTGGCCTGGATCACGCGGGTCCTGATGGGACCGGGTCCTGGACCCCAGGGCCCTTCTCGAGGACCAATCTGAAGGGGCCCTGGGACACACAAACAAATACACACAAATAACAAGGCTTCCCACATTTCCCAATATTTTCTGGGCTTCTGTCTTCTCCCCCACTGCCCAGATTTTCCCATATTCTCCAGGGGATCGACGATTCATTGTGTCTGTGTGCTTTTTCTCCTCCTGGCAATCTTTCGTCCTGGATGTGTGTGTGTGTGTGTGTGTGTGTGTGTGTTGACGGTGCCAGGGCCCACGGAGGGCCCGGGAAGAGGCTCCAAGCGGCGTGGAACCTCGGAGCCCGTTGCCCTCATGACGCGTGTCTGCTCCGTCGTTCGGACGTCCATCTCCCGTGTATTTCTCGGTTTCGTGCGTGTTTTTGTTGCTCGATGGTCCAGGCTGGTCCTCGATGGTTCTCGCCGAGAAAAAATGCACACGTCCAAGCGATGCCAAGTTGAGGAGCAAGGGCAGCACGAGCACAGTGCCTCGGAGGTCGGCGCGGATGCTTCCCGGATCGGCACCGGGCCCCCCTCCCTGTGGCGCGCGAGCCGCGCCGGGGACGGCGCCGGAGGCGTCGCCGCCGCCTTTGGGGGGCCAGCGGTACTCCGAGAGATCCGCGCGGGCCTCCCAGAAACTACGTTGATACATAGGAGGAGGAGGAGGAGGAGGAGGAGGAGGAGGAGGAGGAGGAGGAGGAGGAGGAGGAGAGGAGGAGGAGGAGGAGGAGGGAGGAGGAGGAGGAGGAGGAGGAGGAGGAGGAGGAGGAGGAGGAGGAGGAGGACGAGGTGGAGGAGGAGGACGACGATGACGATGAGGACGAGGACGAGGACGAGGACGAGGAGGAGGAGGCGGAGGAGGAGGAGGAGGAGGAGGAGGAGGAGGAGAGCGCCATCGACGGGGAAGGTGGGGGCACGAGGTCCGCCGGCTTGACGACGCCCGCGTCGCCCGCGCCCGCCCCCCTCGCTCTTATCCGCAATTGCGGGGTACATCTTTTCGTTGTTTGATTCAAGGCGAGCTCCTGCGCCTCCTCCGCGCGGCCCCCGACCTTTGACGAGGACTCCCGCGCTCTGGGCGTCGGGCCTTGTGCGCAGGAGGCGCGCTTCGCCCCTGGATGGTCGCGGCTGCAGAGCGTGCAGCGTGAAGCCGTGCTTGACATGCTCATCATGCACCTCCGAGCGAGAACACAAAAGTGGCCACCTCGTGCCCCCCCGAGTCCTCCCCCCCGGCGGGGGGCGCGGCCGAGAACAGCGAGAAGAGGCTCACGCCGCCCACGCCCACGCGGGCCGCGATCGCCTCGGCGATGGGGGGCGAGCGTGGGGCCGCGCGCCCGGGAGGGGGGCGGGGGGGGGGCGCTGAGAATGCTCTCAGGGCGGAGGGCTCCGGGTGAGAATATAACGTAGGCTTCTGCACCTCGAAGATCCATCCGCCTCGTGAGTCACGCTTGCAGATTCAGGCCTCGAGAGTGAATTGAAACGGCATCTCAGATCTCACCCTGTGCCGGGAGCGGCCAAGAGGGGGGTGTCCAAGAGGGGGGGGTGCAAATCGTGACCGGCGGCACGTGCGCGGCCCAGCGGGGGGGCCTGGGACGTAGTGAAATAAGAAGAGGCGCCATGAAATCTGCGGAGAGATCATGGCCCGCGCCATGAGATTCCCCCCCCCCCAGTCATCACCCCCCTCTTTTTTCCGCCCGACTGTGCCCTCCACTGGGAAGCACAAAGACATACTAGTACTGTATGTCCTCCTTGGAGGCGCGCGTCCGACCCGAACATATAGTATACCCATCTTGTAGTATATCGCTTCCCGAGCGGTGTGGCCAGAAAGCGCCCCCCACGACGCATATACTATAAGATTTCTCGGTGCGCGCGTCGCCTCCGGGGGGGCGAAGCACATATAGTATAAGTATGTTAGGGTGATGCCGATCCACCCAGAGAAACTGCTCGGGGGCGCCGGGGTTCAGCGGATGGGCGCCCGTGGCGGAGCGCGCGGTCGGCGTCGCAGCGGCGGAAAGTGCGGCGGGGCGCCGCCGGCCCGCGCGGTACACGCCGTCTCTCTCTCACCCTGGCAGCGTGCACCAAAGAAGGAAGGGGAACTGGGGCACGCAAGTAAAGAGGCACAAATAGCCAGGCGCCCCCTATTTTCCCACAGTTCCTGGGCTTTTGCCTTCCCCCCCGCTTCCCACGTTTTACCATCTCTTCCTGGGAGGCGACGAGGAATTGTGCCTGTGTGTTTTTCCCCTCCTGAGAGAAGCCCTCGCAGGAGACTGGCGCGCACAGAAGGCGCCCTCGTGGGGGGGGTCGCCTCGGGAGGATGGCATGGTTTTTGGCGGAGATCCATGTTGCACGCTGCCTTACAACAGCCACGCGTAGAGGAACGACAGACGACATACGCGTAAATTCTCGGAGCTCTGCGCAGACTTCTTGGGATCGGCGCTGGAGCCCCCTGGCGACGCCTCCGGCGCCGCCTCCTGGCGTGCTCCTCGCGCCAGGGAGGGGAGTCCAGCGCCGATCCAAGAAATCCGCTCGGAGCTCCGAAAGTTCATAGTTGTGGCCTTTGTTGTTCCTCTGGAGCATCCAATCCGATCGGGGCTGGGGCCTGGGGTTATGTTGCTCCCATCGTACTTAAGGGCCCCATCCCAGACATGACTTCGAGCACCCAGAAAAGTATCGAAACAGCGTCGAACAAGTATCGCCTCCCAGGGCCCTACACGCGAACGCCCCCCAGTTTCGATACTTCCTTGGTGTTCGAAATTCTTTGTGGTCAGCACAGGAAGGAGCCGCGCCTAGACGGCGCATCGGCAGAGCATGACAAACTACAGAAAGCAATGAACAATCATGCGAACACAATTCCGAGCTGAATGCAAGGGGCGCTGGAACGCAGCCACTGCATACTTCAGTGGTGGGCCGCGGTGAGAATTACAACGGCAGGGCGGCATGCAAGAGAGGGGCGGGAGGGGGTGGAGGCAGGGATGGATAGTTGATGCAAGTACTTGGCGGCGCGCACAAGTTCTAGGGGGAGGAGGGGAATCTTTTTGAGAGGAGCCTGCTTCTTAGAAGGCGCCGGCCTCACATCAACAGAGAAGATCCGCGCCTTTTAAGAAGCCGGGGTGCTTCTCAGAAGCCTTCCCCCCTCCCCCTACCCCCCTCTGCGCGTGACCGAAGACAGTCGATGCAAATACGGCAAGCCCGGGTCGTGGCAGCCTGCGCGCTTGTCCTGGACACCACGTGGACCACTCGACCTCGAGCGATCGGGGCAGTCGAATCGCCCGATTCGGCGGCGCCGGCGGCGCTCAACCTTGAATGCCGGCGCTGGGGTCGCCGCCGCGTCGACACAACATGGGCATAGCGCTGGCCACGGTGCAGGCACGCCACTGCCAAGGACGCCAGGAGACGCCCTCCTGCGACGGGCGAGGGAGAGGCCGGAGAGCCGCGGCTCGCCACGGCACGGGCCCGAAATCCATCGGGCCAGGTCTTGGACATCGTTTCCGTCGTGAAGATGTCCAGGGGGAGGGCCGAGGGCCGAGGGCCGAGTCTCGGAGAGCTGGAGGGTCGAGGGCCGGCGGGGGATGGGGGCTTCGACGGCCGAGGACCAGAGCGGGGATGGGAGGTGAAGGACCCCAGGGGGTGGAGGGTGGAAGCGGGATGCATGACCAGATTTGACGGGGGGCCCAGGACACGCAAATAGATAGACACAAATAACTAGACTCCCCATATTTTCCTATATTTTCTGGGTCTTTGTCTTCCCCCCCACTTCCCATATTTTCCCATATTTTCTGGGGAATCGACGATTAATTGTGTCTGTGTGTTTCTCCCCCCCTGAGGGATGGATGACCAAATTACAGGCCTCCAGGATGGGGTCCGAGTAGATGGGGTCGGAGGATCTCGTCGCATCGGCGATGCATCGGCGATGCACTGGCGACGTCGGCGGTGCGTCGTCAGTGCGTCGGCGACGTCTGCTTGGGCAAAATTGGGCTCCACATCGAGCCGCATCGCCGATGCATCGCCGATGCATCGCCGATGTATCGGCGATGCGGCCCGATCCTCCGACCCCATCTACTCTGACCCCGTCTAGGACGCCTGGACAAATCCGCCGACCCTGTCGGCGTGTGCGAGGGGCTTGGCTGTTCGAGTCGTCGTCTCCGTCGGTCGTCGCCTCCGTCGCCCCCTTTCCCTGCAGCTTCCTTCTCAAGCTCGTGAGCGAGAGAAAAATCGAGCAGTGTCGTAATCGAGTCGAAGGGAAGCCCCTTCCCTTCGATCCCTTCCCCAGGGGGGGGGGTCCCGGGGGGGGTCCCAGGGGGGGTGGAGGGGGGGGTCCCGGGGGGGGTCCTGGGGGGGGTGGGGGGCAGATTCGTTTTTCCTCGGGCGGCCTCGAAACCTCGAAAACACTCCAAATGAGGTCCGAATGCCCAACATGGCCCCCGAGACGGCCCAAGAGGGCCCCGAGTCGCCCAAAGATCGGCCGAAAACGCCCAAGATAGCCCCAAGACCGTCCAAGAAGCCTCCAAGACGTCCCAGGCCCCCTCCAAGAGACCTCCAGGAAGCCCCAAGAGGCCCCCACGAGGCTTCCAAGCGGCCCCTAAGAGCTTCGGCACCTAAGAGCTTCCCAAGAGGCCCACAAACTACCCCCACGAGGCCCCTAAGAGCGCTCGTCGTCGTCGTCGTCGTCGTCGTCGTCGTCGTCGCCATTCAGGGTCGGCGGCACCGGCCGTAAGGCCTTCGCAATATAGATGGAGCATCGACTGTGTAGGCTCGAAGAAGATGGGGTGCGAAGACCGAAGATCGAGGGGGGGGCAAGCCGCGCCCGCCGGGGGGGGAGGATGGAATGTCGACGATCGGGGATCCGAGTCCAGTGTTAGGTCGGGCATGTCCCTCTACATGCGGATTTTGGACGACAAATCAGAAATACAAAAGAAATGCTCAAACATAGTCAAACAACCCTCCTGTAGAGGGACATGCCCGACTGAAGGCCACTGTGTACTCATCCACCTTGCCATCGCTCGGTTGTCCGTTCGAACACATGCTCCGATAACTTGGCAGAGCTCTTGCCACAACGCTCGGCCACATGGGCGATTCTAGAAGGCAGGGGGCGGCGGTGATTCGCCGTAGGCGTCTTCGATAACACCAACGTCTCAATATGCGCTGGTGATTCCTTCGAGACGCACCGACGCGATTCTTATATATCCCATTCTGATAGAGAGGGGGCCAGCGGCAGGGGGCGAAGTCCTTACGGGCATACATAGATACATATATACACATACATATATACATATATATACATTTATATAGGTATATAGTCCCTACACACATATATATACATGTGGATACATGCAAGCATGCATGCAAGTAGGTCTGTTGTGTGTACATATGTATATGTATATGTATATGTATATGGATTTGCATATGTGTGTAGGTATGTAGGTATGTAGGTATGTAGGTATGTAGGTATGTAGGTCTGTAGGTCTGTAGGTCTGTAGGTCTGTAGGTCTGTAGGTCTGTAGGTCTGTAGGTCTGTAGGTATGTAGGTATGTAGGTATGTAGGTATGTAGGTATGTATGTATGTATGTATGTATGTATGTATGTATGTATGTATGTATGTATGTATGTATATATGTGTGTAGGTATGTAGGTATGTATATATATATATGTATATATATATATATATCCGCTGGCCCCCTCCAGGGGCGCAAGGCTGCGAGGGTGTGTGCGGTCTGCTGTCATGTATTATGTGTTGTCGTTGGTTGTTTTGCCTTTTGTCTCTCCCATGCTGTTCCCTGCCTCCTGTTTACCGTCTGCTAGGGGGCCCCGCCGCGCTACCAAACATCCAACGAGGGGGAAACCTCAAATCCTGGCTGCGCCAGGCCACCCCAGGATTCTCATGACGACGCCACCGCGCGGCCAGAATGGCCCGAGAGGCCTCCAAGATTGCCCGAAGAGGCTCCTAAGAGAGCCTCAGGAGGCCAAGCCGGCCTAAGATGTCCCACGATGGCCACAAGATGGCCCAAGATGCTCCCAAGACGGCCCAAGAGGCCTCCAAGAGGCCTCCCAAGAGGGCCCCACGAAGCAAACATCAACGATGCTTCGCCTTCTCGCCTTCCGGCTTTCCGACGCTCCGAGACGGACCAAGAGGTTCCCAAGATCGCCCCACGACGGCCTTCGAAGCCCCCATGACGGCCAAAGATACCCCCAAGATGGCCCCAAGACGGCCGAAGAGGGCCCCAAGACGGTCCGAGAGGCGCCCCAAACGGCCCAAAAGGGCCCCAAGACGGTCCCAAGAGAGGCCCAAGAGGGAGTCCACAA